AAAGCTAGGTATTTACCCCCTTTTTTTGTTGGTTTCTTATTAACCACGATGAGCGGGTAAAGTAAGCGTGCTACCGCAGTAGCTGGAATGCGTTGAGGGTAAACGCGTGAGGAAAGTTAGGGAGACATAAGACGGATACAGACGGACGAAGAAAAGACCGACGGATGACGTACCGGACAGACGAAATTAATTGTATAATGGGAGTAGAAGACCTTTTGTTTTATTTTATTTCTCTTTACCAGTTATTTTAGTTTTTTTAGTAGTTAATGTTTCTTTTTGTGGTGCGGAATTACGGGCCGGGTGCAGCTGCCCTACCGATCAAGAGCTAGGTCGCGCTTCCAACGAAATTGCGTTACAAATGGCGCCCAACGTGGGGCCAGTTGAACGCTTTTTTTTTTTCAAACTATACCATACAGCTGCACACGTCGGCACCGCCCGTGCACACAAAATACAAAACATTACAACTTAATTAGGATGTAATAACAGTCACTTTTATACCTGAGAACAATTTTCAATTATGCTTTTTGTTATGTTTGTTTTTATGGTAATTGCAACATAACGGGCCACATAAAAAAATGGTGACTAGACCTTAAAGACGTGGAGCAAGAAAAATTTTTCGGAATACAAACAAACAAAAAAAAAAGCATACATTTACTCGAAAGTATATGCACCAAGCAATGGAAAACAACTGGCGACGTCAAAATCATAATTTCTTTTGTTTTTTTACTATTAATGAAAAATGCACCCCGAAGGAGATTCTCTTTCTTTCTTGAGAGAAAAATTTTTTTTTTTTCAGAATTGTTTTGACTTACCGTATTTTTGCCCCTTTACAGTTACGAACTCCACATCCCTTTTACAAATATAAACAGTGCCTGCATTACATATCTTTCTATTATAATTTATTAGTTTGACCTTTTTTGTTTTTCTTTTTTTAGCCTTTTCCATAAGGCTTACCCCATTTTTTTTTCTTTTTTTATATTTGCTAAGGTGTGTTTAATGGAATTATTGAATATAAAAAAAAATTTTACATATAAAGTTTATTTTTCTTATCTGTTATAGAATGGTAGCAAATTTTTTTTTTTCCAGGAATAATTCTGCTTATACAAAACGCAGTAAAGAAATTCTTTCATAAAAAAAATTACATAAGACCAATAAAATATTGTAATACAAACTTTCTTTACTCTTTCCAAAAAAAAAGTAATATGCTTTCGCCTTTTTTTTTGTTTTAAAATGGGCAACTCTGTTCGTCTAATCCCAGTCGGATCCCGAATGTTAAAAGAACGGTCGGACCCCATCATGTTTTAAATTCATGACTTTCATCGACGTACTGTCAAAGATCCCTTCACTTTTGTTTTGCCGCCCTGCCCAACAAATCCACGCCTCGGCTATAGAAATGCGATAACAGTTTGGCGAGGGTCAGAGACGCGGAGACCTTAACTAGCACCGTGCGTATCCCGGTGTTAGGTACCACTGTCGGCCCTTCCACCCGATACCCCCTCTTGTTTCTGCTTTCCATTGGGCGCCATTTGTATGCGCGAGCAAACTATCAGCAACAAAAAGGAAACAAGAATTGTGAATTAATATGCCACTTGGCGACATCATCATCTTGGTCACTTTGCTTTGTTTAAAGTGCCGTGCAAAGTGTCGTCGTTGGGAAACATTTGTATGCGCGATCAAATGATGTGATTTAAATGAAATTAATTATGTATCTGTTCGTTTCACATTGGGCGCCATTTGTAATTGTCATAGTTGACAATTATATATAAAAATTGTAACAGCATTAGACCCGTTCGTTGGGTGCCATTTTACCATAATTTTTATTATTATTGTTATTTTATAAAACTCAGTCGATGCTTTCTCAATTCACTTCATTTATTTATTTATTTTTTTTATTTTTCTTTTTATCTGTGTCCTACTCACAAGCTGTGACCTGACCTGTGGTGTAAGTTCATCCGTAGGACACGTTGTCTATACTGTCCGTTGTCCGTTGCCAGGAAATCAATACTTATATCGCGTGTGGCTGCTGATACCACTACGAAGCAGCTTAACAATTATATTAAGGCTAAATTATCTAATTGTGATCTTAGCAAGTTTAACATTTTTACCTCCTGCTTCTTCAATCGACATTGCTTCATTAAAGATACTTGTAACAACCAATCTGCACAGCATTGCATTCGATAATTGCTTTTGGCGTGAGGGTTGTTTTGTTAGGGGTTTTGTCCCTCATAAACGATTTGTAAGGGCTGTAAAAAATCTTAATAGACTTGGTAGCGATGATATAACACTAAGTGCATCTTAATTCTTTAATAGATAATCGAGCGTATTTTTTAATTCCTGACTCGTGCTTCCATGACGTTGAGGTTTTTTCTAAAAAGTTGTTTCTTATGAAGGTAGGCTTAATTTCTTTTCAATACTAAAACGATTTATTTGCGATGTACGTTCGATTGGAAGAATCAAATTCCAATATTATCTAATTATTTTTAACATTTTGACATAAGGCTCTAACAAATTTTGATACAAAATGGGGACGTTTAGAAATTTGTATTTAAAAAGCAATCTTGTTGGCAAGGAAAATGCAAAATTTATTACCACGTTTTTCTTTCATACTGCAAAGCACTGTTTTGAAATATTACAACTCGTGGCAACGCGCAATTAGCTGTAAAATTTTCCAGTAGTAAGTGATAAAAAGTCATGCAGGATCAGGAGGTATTAAGATGAAAGCAAAAAGACGCATTCTTTTTTATTACTTTTTTTATATTAATTTATTAAACAATGATTTTCTTCAAAATTTGACGATTCTTATCTTTTGGGTGCGACTGAACAAATTCGTGTATGTACACACAGGGATTTCCAAAGTTAAAAAATGATAACCTTCTAAAGGCTGCACTGGGTGAACCCGTAGAACGCGTACCTGTGTGGATAATGCGACAAGCAGGCCGGTATTTGCCAGAATTTCAAGAAATTCGTAAACGGTATGATTTTTTTACAATTTG